GGAATCTGGGAAGAGAGAGTGAGGCTGACTATGTGCACCTCTCCCTCACTTTAATCCAATTCACACACAAGTCTTGACATCCCCCCAGTTCCTGTGAACCTTCAAAGTCCTATGGCAGTGGGCGAGCGACAAAGTAGCAGGTGTGGATACACTGGGAGCTGTAGCCACGGACCTGCACACAGGCAACTCAGGTCTAATGGTCGTCTTCTTGCTGACCAAAGCAACAGCTGAATTTGGCATCTATCTGAGTGACTGAGCAGCCCTCTTCAGGACCACACTGCTCACCTCCGTAGTAAGAGGAAGGGGCTAGAAAAGGTGCCTTAAACATTGTTGCATCAAAGAAAACTGTCTAGCTTATTGCGGCTGGAGGGGATCCCATTTCATGTGGTCGAATAACAAAACTTTAAAGAAAATGAAAGGTGGCACCACTCATCATTGCCACATGAAACGTACGTACACTTCAAGACAACCCCTTAGCAAGTCAACCAGAAAGAAGAACAGCCCTGGCCTCCAGGGAGCTCACAAGATTTAACATCGATATTGTGGCCCTGTGTGAAACTTGTCTAGCCAACGAAGGTCAGCTCACAGAAACAGGAGGTGGTTATACATTCTTCTGGTGTGGACAAATTTGCAGCAGCATGTGACAACTTCGCCCTCCTTATCAACATAAAAAAGACTGAAGTGATGCATCAGCCAGCTCCAAAAGCCCAACATCAAGAGCCAACTATCACAGTGAAGAGACAAAAGGTGTAAGCAGTGGATCAATTTATATACCTTGGCAGCACCCTCTCCCATGCAATGACAATTGACATTGAGGTCAACTGCAGAATCACCAAGGCAAGCTCTGCATTTGGCAGATTACTGACCAATATTTGGGACCGCCGTGGAATAAGCCTTGCTACAAAGCTCAAAGTCTACCGAGCAGTAATGCTAAATACCCTGATGTATGTCAGTGAGACTTGGACTGCATACAGGATGCACACTAGGCAATTGAACCACTTCTACATGATCTGTAGAATACTGAGGATCCAGTGCCAGGACAAGTTGCCAGATACAGAAGTCCTCTTCTGATACAGAAGATACAGAAGACGCTGGGCAGGCCATGTTGCAAGGATGCCAGACCATCGCATCCCCAAACAGCTCCTCTATGGCGAGCTGTCTCAAGGAAAGTGATTTCACAGAGGTCAAGGGAAGCGATACAAAGACACATTGAAAGTCTCCTTCAAGTCCCTAGAAATTGATACCACCTCCTGAGAAACCCTGGCACAAGATCGTTCAACATGGTGCATGCTGATCCACCAAGGCTGCCAGACATCTGAGGACAGAAGTACAACCGTAGCACAAGAGAAGTGAGCACTCTGCAAAGCCAGAGCTGCAAATGCTGCAACAATGATGCCCACACATCTGCCTGACATGTGGCAGAACATTTCATGCCCTCATAGGCCTTACAAGCCACCTGCGGACACATCATGGACAGCCCACAACCTATTAGATGTCAAGGTCTTTGAACATGATGGACAAACATCATTCACTTAGCAAAATCATTCAATTCTTTTATTCAACTTTGGTATTTTTTTCGCCCCTAGAGATTTTGTTTTAGGAATATCTGGAATCTTCATTGCCTCTTCATGAGCTCCCTCAAGCAAGTCCATTAAAGCCAGAAAACATGGATAATTGTTTGTTGGCACAAATTTTGTTTCCTTGCTGAGATGTATGGTAACTTTAAAATACTCCAGAAAGCATAGGTATTCATGCAAGGGAGAGGAAGGGAGCTAAGGAAGAGCAAATGATGAAATGTCTACCATTATATCATGATGCAAATGCTGTGACATTCATCTAAATAATTGTATAACTGCATGGATTTTCTCATCATTTTGATGTCATTGCAGTTTCTTCCAGATGCTGCTGCCCAAGAGGGCAAAGCTTCAGAGCACAAAGAACAAGAAAAAAAAGTATACCAAGAATATTTGTCAAGCTACAATTTGGAATGCACAACTACTTTGAAAATATCTTCTCATTTACTGGTCAACCACATTTCCTCAGCTGAAATGAGAGCTAGAAATTGACAAGGTCAGAAGAAAAGTTGGTGAGACTAGACTGGCTTGTTACAATAACCATGCAGAGATGCTGCTTGCTTTTCCCACCAAAAAACAAGATTTATCAATCTGTTACAATGCATAATTGGGGAAAAGCAAGTACCTCATTTGAATGTTCAATCTCTTATAAATACGTGGGCTGAATATTACAATTTGCAGTAGATGTTTTCTTCACTATTACTGGCTTTTCTATCTGCAATAAAATAATGATTCATCAAAAGCTACATCTTTAAATCTCTCTTTGTATACTTTCAAGTTTAAATCTTCACCTGTGGATCTTCACAATTTAGGTATCAGAACAAATTAGATAATTTAACATCTTCTACTTGTTACTACCTGATAAATGTTTCTTTTGTGGTAAATGAAGCACTTTATTTCCAAAACCTCTGTTTATCAACATATGCTCATGTTACCCAATGAATTGGTTTCTCTTATGCAATTGAAAAATAAAAAATGCATTATCTTACCTTGTTAGAATTTATTTTTGTATACTGCATTATGGTTCTCACCTATTATTAGCTGCTTAAAATCTATTTCAGTAAGAGTGAGTGGCAAACATAAAAATTATATATTTGTAGCTTGAAAAAAGATGACATAGTGTTCATCCTTTTTCAAGGTACAAATATGTAGTTTTAAGTTTTCCTTGTATGGGACAAAAAGCTAGAGATATATACAGTATGCCAATATATTTGGCCCACCCGTGTGAACTCTAAATCAGCAAAATTACCAATTGACAGTACAATCATCAACAAGATTGTTTAGAAGAATGGACAATTATATTAAATGAGTCTTATTTTTCAGATTAATATAAAACAGGATTGCATTTTAGGACATTTTGACCTTCTAGGCCTCAGATTTTTAACATTTATTATTTTTATTTTATTATATAAAATACTGTGGGAAGTCATCATCCAGCCCTCTCCCAGAAAAATGAAATATCCTAGGAAATATTGAAAAGGCAGAATATTTCTCTGGATATGAAANGGTTTCTCCCGCCAGCTGGCAGGCGCGTCCTGGCCAATCAGAGGCGCCTTGCGCAGCGCCATCTGCTGGCCAGGACACAACACCCCTTTCCCCTGGACTGCACATGTGTAGTCGTGAAGGTACTCGGGGCTTCTGCGCACACGTTGTGAGCTTCTCAGTAAAGGTGTGGCCGCCGCTGAAGAAGGAGGAGCGCTGGCCTCCATCTGCTGGCCAGGACACAACAAACATATTTTTGGCTTTCTTGTTGATGAAGTCCTTTACAACTGACACAGTTGTATGGCAAGAATAAATAATTGTTGCACATGGTTAGGTATATAGTAGATTAAAAAAAATCTGATTTAGAATAGGTTTAATGCAAGAGATGCCAATGATGTTAAGTATCTAATATGGTGCTTAAGAAAATACATTTGACCTGTCAACATATTGGGTCTTTAAAGTAAAATTTAATGCAGGAAATGCCAATGAAGTTAATTTTTTGGTATCTCCTGCATTAAATCTTACTCTAAACCAAATATTTTTTTATCATCTAGCTGCCTATGTGCTTTCTGCCTATACTACCCTGTTACAGAAGGAAGAAAAGTACTTTATTGGCCATATGAAATACAAGTGATAAGTTATAACTAAATTGTTTTGTAAGTTTTTAAAGCCCTGCTTGACCTTCTACAGTATTTATTATTCTTAGGTTACAGTTATCCTGACACATAGGACCAATTCTCATTCCAGCTGCTGGTTGAGATAAGGCTTTCTGTAATTGTGCCAAGAACAGGCAGTATGTCAGCTCTTATCCTTTGATGGAATTAGTGAATGTTTGAAAGTGAATTTAGGATGGAACACACCAGGCAGTTTTAAAAGTTTCAAGCAAAAGTTTTACTATTATATTTTTTTGAAAAAATTTTCTAATTAGATATACAGTGTATTAAATCCTCTGTAAATACTCAGTAAAGTATTGCCATTAGGTTTTCCCTATTAGTTATTAGGTTTTTGTACTTGAATATAATAACAGAGCCAAGGTATTGTCCTGTTTTAATTGTCAGTGTAACCCAAAATAATCTCAAAAGAGAAAAAAAAATCCAAGCACATAACTTATATTAGAAAGTTATCAAAGTTACCATTTTGATGCTGATACTCCCAGAATTCCCTACCCAGCATATTCTAAATCAGGGGTGTCAAACTGGCAGCCCGTGGGCCGGATGCATCATGTGCAGGCCAACCCACCCCAGCTCTGTGATGAAAAAACATGGCAAGATGTCACGTGATGGCAACGTGACGCCATGAGTTTGACGCTCGTGTTCTAAATTCTGCTCTCATACATCAGTATAGAGTAATATTCTGTTTTTGTACACTTCTCTTCCCTATTTTCCCAAAAACTTCTATGTTTTTAATATTTCATTAAGTCTCTTAATGCATCTGCAAATATGTGTGTGTGTTTCTATGCTTAATTCTGTTCCATGTGATTGGCAAAATGCATTATAATGTACATCTTGCCTTCAAATTAAATCATTAAGGTAGATTGTAAGAAAACATTAAGAAATTAAAACGTGTAGGTCATAATCTTACTTCAACTTTCACTGGCATAGCTTTATGCTGGAAAATGGTTAGAATCTGAGAGAATCCTTTTTGAAGGTCTGCAGGTATCTGGTCATCTTCTGAAAATTTTAGAAAACTGTGTGAGTCTGGCAGAATATCAGGTCTTGTGTATCTTTTCAGACTAAGAAATTTTGCTAACTTTCGTGAGGGAAAGTTAGTTTGTAGACTATGCAATTTATGCATTTGATAAAATGAGGCAGTTCATGAAAGTTTATGACTTAAAATTTGTTAATTGAAAAGGTGTTTATCAGATTTTTTTCTTGCAGTAATAATAGTAGTTGCCCATAACAGTGCAGCACAAAGCAACTAATCTGTTTTAAAACTAGGTGTGGGATTATTTTTAGGTGGGGAAGGATTTAAAACGTTAACATCCATGTGCAATCTGAAGTAGTATTATGTCATTAAAACATTCAATTATCTTTCATCACAGGATGTATTCTATTTTTGAAACATGTAATTGTTTTCCCCATGGGCAAGTCAATCAACACTTTATTCTTTGTTTTACATTGACTTGCAAAAGCTATTTTATCTAGCTTTAGCAACACAAGATTGCCGTTTGCACTTTTTTGCCTGCTAACCACTAGGGGGTGGTCTGTTGTTAGTTTAATGGAGAGAACATCTTTAATCATAAATTGCTAAATTAAAGTATTCTAGAAACTCTCTCCTCTGCCCCCCCACCTTTTTAGAGATAGAATTCATCCTTGTTCTTTGCTTGACCTGAAGAGTGACATCACTGCCTTTCTCCCTGTTGCACTGTAGTTGCTTGAGTCACAGGCTTTGACACATGCCAGATGGCTGCAATTGGTAGGCGTGCAGGCTGCCTGGTGCTACAGTTGATGAAACAGAATAGGAAGACCTTTTATGATCAGCTGCTGGATCCCAGTAAGACTACAGCTTTGCTAGGTAATTACATTTTCACTGCACACTTTTTTATCTCAAAGTGAAAATACATTTTTATTTGCTTATTTGGAATGTGTAGTCCTTTTTTATTAGTTGATCGCCTTCTCCAGTTGTCATGTTTATCTTTTCTTGCTCATTATTGTCTCCACTTCTGCTTCTATAAACATTTGGCTCCTGTCCTTTGAAGTAATTTAATCCAAGTAGTATTTTACTCACACTCTAAATTAAATTAGTAATTCAAGATATAGTGAAAAATATATAGCATGAAACAAATTGAGGGATGGGGATAGCACTCCACTTACCCATCCAGTACAGAGATTTGGATCTAAAGCTATGTAATCACACCATCTATGCAACGGATTCTTGCTGTTTCTTCTTCATAAATATTGCCCAGAGATTTTTGAGTAAACCTTTGAACAGCTTGTGGTAGATGCATAGGCTTCTGTAATATAATCAATGTACTGATTTCCAGGAAATTTTTAAAAAAGTCGAACTAGAGAGCAAGCAAAATAAGTAAGTAAAATAATGCTTTAATTATTCCTTGCCAGCAAAAAAGATTCCAGCAGTTTGGGCTAGTCTGCTCACAGCCAGTCAGGGACAGTTGCCAACAGAAAACAGCTTGGGCGGGCCCAACAAGATGCGCTTTCAAGGTGTATGGGTGCACACAGTGATGTCGCTATGAATACTCCACTTTTCATCAGTATCATATTGCAGACACAGAAAGAAGGGGTTTATGTTATGATGTCACGCCAGGTATAGCCTATCCTGCTTTGTTGCTGACACTTCTGGGCAGGTGAACTAGAGTTGGAATGTGATCTGATCTACTATTGTTGGCATTTACTGATATTATTCTAGTGATTTTTTTTTAACAGTCTAAGGCTGATCATTGTATAGCAAGTTCAAGCGGAAGATATTCAGCTCACTCAATGGAGGATTTTGAAATATCTTTTAATGTGCAGAAGGAAAAGCGTAAGAAAAGTAAGAATATAGCAAGGAAACAAAGTAGACATATAGACATCTGAGTTCATCGCAAGTATAAACAATTTTAGAATCTCTTCACTCCCTAAATAACTTAATACAATGAAAGTCCACTAAGGTTTACCAGAAATAACATATCTTAACCTTGATCAAATAAACCAATTTTATATTTCTTCTTTGTCCCTTCTCACAATATTCCTCAGAACTTTAACAAGCCTCTTTTGTAATTCCTATCCCCCCCCAAAAAAAATCCAGGTCACTCTCTTGATGTATTATTGGTTTATAGCAGCTTTGCTGTTTACAGTGCCTATAAACCATATTTCTGTACTGATCTGGCTTGGTCAATTATCCAATAGAAAATCAGCAAGAGAAATTGATAGCACTTCTAAATAATAATTATCAGTTTTTGATATAAATATATTTGAGACTTTGTAATGCGTTCTGTTGTAAACAAGCATTAAAGTAGATGGGTACAGCACAAGAAATTGTGTATGATTCTTGCACAATGTACTTGTCCACTAGATCAGGGGTCCCCAACCTGTGGACCGCGGCCCACTACTAGGCTTCATCACTGGTACTTACAGCCCCACTCGTGTGAACCTCATCATGACTGCACTCACACAAGCCTCATTGTGGCCCCATTTGTGCAAGCTTCATCATTGGCGCTTGCAGTCCTACTCAGGTGAGCGTCTCTGCAAATGTCACAAATACTGCACTTGTCCCTCCCACACATGCACTTGCACTTGCCCCGCACACAAAATAATCCCCCCTTTCCTCCCTCTCCCACTCCGCGCCAGTTGGGGAACTCTTCACTAGATGTTTCTGATGGGTTCTCATCTTTGTTACCTTCGTTATAAATTGTTTTAAAAATATGTAACGCAGCAAGAAGTCATTATATAGAACACCTTTAATGTGGGCCTCTCATATATCTTTCCTTAGATTGATTTTATCTTCTGAGGAGTTCAGTCTAATGCACATGGAGTTCTTTTTCATTTATAAAGAAAGGTCTTGCTGCAGGCATAGTTGAAGAGGGTATTATTAAAAATGCAACTACTTTAAGGTACTAATTGTGTAATAGTAAGTTCCCTATTTTTCAAACTTTTAGAACTTAGATGCAAATTAACTATAAAATAATAAATGAATGAACAAAATACCATGTTTCTGAAATTTTTATGTGATAATTTTCAAATCATTTTCTTAAAATTGTTATGTATATATGTTTGTAAGTTCCTTTATTTCTTGGGAATAATTGCTATATTGTTGTGCAAGGAATGAGAGAAACTCATTTAATACATGTGTATTTGTATTATTAAGCTTGTACGTTTCCTTTCAGAAAAAAAGTCATAATCATCATTTTTGCTATGAATGTATCTAATTTTTTGAAGTTTTAATTTCATTTTCATCTTTTTTTCCCTTACTCAGCTCTTGCCCCTGTTCTTTGCCTCTGGTTGTGTTGATGACGATATTACAGTGATGTCTGCATTCAACCTACTGCATTTGGTGACAAAGAGCCAGCCAGTGGCCCTGCAAGCCTGTGGGCTTCCCTCAGGTTGACTGGGTGCTACTTGTGGTTATGCATATGGAGGTTCTTTCTATTAGAGTAGGCATCTCTGCTACAGGAAATAATAGGCTGTGTTTGCTAAGGAATCAGCTTTTTAAAGCCAACTAAGCTGAAAGTCTTTCCAACTATATTGTACATCACTGCTTTTAAAAAAAAAATGGTAACAAGCATTTTAGCTTCTGTATAGGGTTTGATAAATTGGATTGTATTTTTAGATCATAAATAAATAGGCACTTTGCTGTCTTTAAATATAACAGTAATCTTAAATAGTCTAGCTCTATATTTTTATCAAGGGAATACTATAATCTGGTGAGGGGCAATATGTTTGATCTCAGGAAACATTCAGTGACATTTTAAGAAGAATAAAAAATCAATTTAACACAAAGTTCTTACAAGCTGTTGCAAATGAAAGTTTTCTTGTAAAATTCTGTACTAATTTAGCCCACTATTTTGCTGTATTTCCACAATTTTTGGTCATAACTTTATCGTTGTATTTGTTAGTTCTGCAAATCAAGCAGAAATCTCATTGAAATGCAAAAAATGAGGATAAATAACAGTGCCATTCATAAAGGGTTATCCACATAGCACACTGGTGCATGTGAAGAATCACTCTTCAAAATGTTGATGCAGCCTTAGTCTCTTGAAGGCTTGTCATGGTTTTGGAAGCTTTCCCTCAATTTGCATGTCTTTGAGCATTTATAGACAACATTTCCACTTGGATTACCAGTGAAGTAGCAAATAACATTTTTCTACCATGTTATGTTTGAAGTGCCAAATAAAAGTATGATATAAGAGCTCATTAATGGTGGAAGGAAAACAGGCAACATGTCAACATGTTTCACAACAGTAGAAAAAGTTCTCATCTGTTTTATTTATTTATCAAATCTTTATGATGCCCATCTTCCCTACAAGACGACTCTGGGTGGCTTATAAGTTATAAAACAAGTAAAAGATTATTAAAATATTAAAATCTACACAGATTAAAATATTATTAATAAAATTATTTTCAAACAAACACAAACACACAAAACATATAACATCCTCTTCAACTGCATACAGTGTGTCGATTGGTTACAAGGTCTTTCTGCATCCTTCCCATAGTCATCACTTGAGCTTTATCAAAAATCACATATTGTCAATCAAATATCTTTATATACATTATTATTATACTTCATTTGTTATATTATCACGATTGTTTCTCCATTTTAAACAAGATATTCTAAATATGTATCCATTTATATTATAATGATTCATTATATCATTTTCAATATATCCAATAATAAAGAATTTTTATATCCTATTCTAAGTCATTCTATTATTTCAGCATTGATAACATTCTCTAATAATTTTCAATTCCATGTTTTTTCCATTATTAGTATCATCAATCTAATATACATGTATACAAATTGTTATAATTGCTAAACATCCATTAAGCATAGCTATTATTATATCCTTTTTATATGAAACATTAAATTTGAAGTAAATTTATATTATGGCATTTCATTCCATCCTGAAATCATCCAATGATATTACATCTTTATATTCTATTCTATATAGAATTATTTATCTTTTATAAAAAGGTTTTTCAACATCATCTCCATCCTCACTTACTGTTTGTATAAAATTTCATATTATCAATCTAGTATATATAAATGCTTTATTATCATTATTGATCATTTATTTGACTATAGCTGTTATTACTTTGTCTTATACATAGTACTCAAAATTTAACTACATTTAACTAAATTTTCTTGTGTCATTTCATTTCATCATCCTGTATCCTTCCAGAAATAGTGCAGTCCAATATCTCTTGCCATTTGTAGAATCTGTATTCTAAGTGTTTTCTTGATAAGTCTTATGTGGACTTCTCCTGACAACTTGTTATTCATTGCATATCTTATAAAGATTCGAAACCCTCTATCTGTTCCTTTCATCAGCTTGACTGTTGTTATCTCTGGTGCTTCTGCCGAAATTACTCTCATTGTTTCTGTCAAATTTTCTCCCCTTTCTTCATCTACATTTTGACATCTGAGATAGAGTTCCAGTTCATCGATCTCTCCTTTCCATATTTTGCACTTATCATTTCCCTCCACTCTCGATTTGCTGTCAGTGTCAACAATTTTCTTATCACTTTCATATGTCTCTGGTTTTTTGAACTCTCTCCTCAAATTTCATCGTTGTTTTATAAGTATTCTCAACACTTCTCTCCATACTTTCTGTATTTTGATCTATAATTTCAAGTCTCTTCAATTCTCTCTGTGATTATGAATTTCTAGCATAATTCTTTGCAGTGTTAATCCCTTTTCTTCTTCATATTGGGCCATTTTTCCAGGTTATAAACCCTGCCACTAAAACATCCAAGGCTTTTGCTAGGTTTCAAACAAATTCAGTAAAGTTTTTCAGATCAAAGCTTTCTCTTTCCTTCAAAGAAACAAGACGTATAAACAAGACATTTTCCACTGAC